GGATTCTTTCCCCCATGACAAAGAGTTGGGTTATACATATATTTTCAAATTTAGTTCAGGGTCAAGTTATAATCATTGTGCTTACCTGGAAGTTTAATGGTAACATAAGGTAATACTGTGAATGATTTCATCAGCGGATTTCGGAAAATAAAGAAGTGACTTCCATCCAAAAAAAGTTACTATTTTTGCCTTTCTGCTGTCAGAGATGACAGTGTATGTAGGGTTTAAAGAGGAATGTTTTGGAGTCAGAAAGACCTAGATTCGTATCTGAGTTCTACCAGTTTACTAGCTCTGTAACTTGGGTCCTTTGATTATCTTCTAAGTGTCAGATTGACATCAGTTGAATGAAGATAATGATAATGTTGCCCCCAAGCCCATAAGGAGGGCTGTAAGGAAGATGAAACAAGATCATGTAAGTAAAGCATGAGCAGGATGCCTGCATTACTAAGGAAATGCTAAAAATAATGCGAGGTGCTATTATCACAGCTACCAATCAGAGTCCATGTAGGGGGTGTGATTAAGCAATGACTGGCAGCAGATCTGCATTCAATCTTACTTCCCTTACTTAATATTCATGTGAACTTGAACGAGTTACTTCGCTTCCCTGCGCCTCAATTTCCTCCGGAAAACAAAGACTCGTAGTATCTACCTCATAGGGTTGTGAGGATTAATAATCAATATAAGTAAATCACTTAACAGCATTGTCCAATAGAACTTCCTATGATTATGGCAATATTCTAAATCTGCACTGTCCAATATCATAGCCACTAGCCACAGGTAGTTATTGCATACCTGAAATGTAGCTAGTACAATTAAGGACCGAATTTTTAATTTAATTTAATTTAAGTAGCCACATGTGGCCAGTGGCTACCACACTGGACGGTGCAGACTTAGAACATGACCTGACTACCGTAAAACCATTAGTATATGTACTAACTGCTAAACTAAATGAGTTAGCTGGAAGCAGTGGTGGTGCTGGTATGCGAGCACAGTTCACGAATAAGAAACTACTTCTTCCCAGCAAGGCTAGAGAGGAGAAACAAATTTATTTTCCAGTAATACATGTAATACGTTATTGATGGCACTTGAAGTAAGGGCTGTGAGGTGAACTATTAAATCATGTGAATTAAATTACCAACTAAATTCATTCTTTCTCAAACTTTTTTCCTTCATTTCAGTTTCAATTTTGAACACAGATATGCATATTACAAAGCATATACTCCATGGAAGAGATCTTGTGATTTCCTGAAAAGTAATTGCTTCCAAAATTTACGTGTGTGTGTGTGTGTGTGCACAACAGTAACTTTCTCGTTCACCAAAGAATCAAAATAATTGCTATTTATCATGAAGTCATACAAAAGACAAGAACTCAGTATGTCAGTATTGGTGAAGGTTTAACTTGGAAAGCATCATATTCTATGTCAGTATTTAAAAACAGATATTTTAGGGACATCTGGGTGGCTCAGTCTGTTAAGCGTCTGCCTTCAGCTCAGGTCATGATCCCAGGGTCCAGGAATCGAGTCCCTCATTGGGCTCCTTGCTCAGCGGGGAGTCTGCTTCTCCCTCTGCCTGCCACTCCCCCTGCTTGTGCCCTCTGTCTCTCTGACAAATAAATAAATAAAATCTTTTTAAAAAATAAAAACAGATATTTTAAATGGAACATTGAAAACAATAAGGACCATCAAACACATAGAAGAGACTTTGATGTCATGAAGAATGACACACACTTTATCCTTTTCTCTGGCCTGAGTAATGGCTACTCAGAAGTGAGTACACATGAAGGTTTCTTCCTGACCTAGCCTTCTCTAGATTGTTCAAGCTTCCCTTTGTTTAACTTTTTACAAGAGTGAGAAGTTCAGAAATATAACGACAATGATATGGAATTATTTTTACAGCATTAAAGAAAAGGGAACAGTGCAGATTTCTTAAAGAATTAGATTTGGACATTTTTATCCACAATGGTCTTCTCAGCATTGGGCAGATACCATAGCATGGTGCCTCACTTAAATCTACACATACTGTGAAAATACTATGTCCATTTTCCTCAAAAGAAGGGAGGAAAATATCTCCGCTTAGTTTCCCTGCACAGAAAACAAGGATGTTAAATGTTAGGCAGACTTTCATGTTTGGCTTGGTTTGAGTCTCTAGGGTTCATTAGCATCTCAGTAGTCAGGCAAAGGAAGTTTACATTCTGGGTGCTGGAGATGAATGTCAGGAAAGGGACACTGAGTCTTTTGTTAATTGCAAAAGAAACACTCTACAACCTGAAAAGAGACCTCTTCTTTCATCCTCCCATGTCTCCAGGGCCTCCTGCATCATCTGCATCAGTGGCCTCCTGCCCACTGAGGATCAGGGAAGCCCAGGGACTATTTACACACCCAGGGAATATTTACACGCCCATGGAAGCAGCTGGCTACAAAGATAACATCTGAAGGGAAACTGGCTAGGCATGATGCATGAAGTTATGTGAGAAGGCTTAATCTTTAAATCATAGCCAGACCTAAAGCCTGTCCATGAAGACCCAGGCACAGAGGCCAGCCTTCCAAACACTAAATTTTCCCAGCACTGTCAAAAGTGACCTGGAAGGGTACACTTTGCTTTCCACAGTGCAGGAATCTTCCTGTAGAGCTAGCCTCGCCATATATGGAAATCATTCTTCACCTGGAGCCCATGAGCCTGGGAGGTCCATGGATAGATCTTCTGGGTCTGTAATGAATCCCCTAAAACCACACGTGAGAGGTGTATGTATCTTGTATTTGTCACTGTGTGTGTCTGTGTTGAGGAAGGGTCAGTAGGTATTACCAGATTTTTGTAAGGGGCTTCTGTCCATACCTGTAATAGCATGCCATGAAGACAGCAGATGGCTCCAAAATATACCCCCCTCATGAAATTAAAGTGATCAGACTTTTACCAATAGCGTCTCTAAAGCAGCCCCAGCTTCTTCAATTCAGGCAGTTTTTGTAAACATTATCTTTATATTTTTAAAAATCTAAAAGTGTTCTGAAATTGTTTTCCAACTTAGGAAAACTATGGTGGCCACACTTGAAAATTAAACCAAGAGTACTCAGAGTATTCTAATAATGCACTCCTCTACTTCCAACATATATATTGATAGAGTCAGCACATCTGGAAAGAAAGTGAAAATTTCAGCCTGTCTTCTAAATGTTTTGTCTGCATCAGAGATTTTCACCTGGTGAGCAGTTTTCTAAGTTGTCTCCTAGAAATCAACGGGGTGCTTAAAATAAACTTATTACAGGCTCCACCTGAGGTTCTGAGCTAATTGCTTGGGAGTGGGCCTAGACTTCCATGATTTTAAAGTTCCCCAGGGGACTCTGTATGCATGGCAGGCTGAAGACCACGGGCAAAGCGCTGGACAAACCGTTTGGCCTACAATCTGTGCTCTCTTGATGACACCTGCTGTGGTCAGCACTATGATCATTGTCTGCTCCACCCCCGATCTCTGTGACCCCAGCAGGCCTCATCCCACCCAACAGGTATTAATTTGAATGTAATAAAAATTGGCTGCAACTTGCATTTTTCTCATAGATTTTTAAAATTCCATAGACATAAATATAGACACAAATTGTGTCTTAAAGAGTAAAGCCCATGAAGATTTGTTCTTTACTGCAAAGTCAGTAAGTGAGAGTCTTTTTCTCTGGGAATTGTCCTTCCTCCTTCCCTCTGTTCATAAGAAAGGCTCATTTCCATATGATTTTTTCTTTAGTATATGCCACTTAAAGAAATAGGGTATAAGAATGACCGAGGTGTTACATAGGAAACTCAGTCAATAAATTCCATTGTGAAGCAGTTAACCTGATTTCACAAATATTTGCTGGGCACTGGCTAGATATTGGAGTTGAAAGTGCACTGAAATATAAGGTGAATAAAACAAACTACCTCAAGCATTGCTATTCCAAAAACAGTATAGGCTATGAGGTATGGGGCTTTTGCCTTGTGTCCTACAGTGTATTTGTTGCTTTATATGCATTATTCCATTCTACCCTTTTCTTTTTGAGGTAAGAACTATTATTATTATCTTGTTCCCAAGTTATGTAGAGCTTATTCAGATCCATCCATTCGGCACACATATCTTCTAAACAAACAAACCCCAGAGCACATGGCCATTTTCTAGCTCATTGTGTTGGTGTTGGGAGAGCATTCCATTCCTAGAACCTAGTAAACACAGCCTAAGAGCAAATAATAATAGCATGTCACATTGATGACCCCATAGGAATGTCAGTCCAGTCTTAGAAACAGGAAACTGAATCTCAAAAAGGTTGAGTAAGTCACCTGAGGCCCCACTACTAGTAAGTGCCGAACTGACATTGGACTCTAGCCACCTCATGAGATGCTTTGCCAAATACACAATACTTCTGAGACTTGTCATAGATAAACTTGCCAACAAAGGACCTTACACTCTCCTGGACTCAGATGTTGTAACTGCAGATGAAAAGTCTTTTTTTTTTTTTTTTTAGCTTATTTTAGTATCCAGATTCTTTTTCTTCAAGTTCCACAGTGATGACTCCCTCTTTGGCCATATTTCTTTCTAGTGTGCCTAAAAGGAAGAAGGCGCAGGCCCCCTAGAGTGTTTTCTTCCTCTTGAACTCGGGAATCTCCCATGTGCTGGCAGGAAACTTGAGTCCTGTCCAGAAGCAGAATTTGCCTGGCCATCCTCACCGTGGAAATGTGTTGCTACACCAAATACACTTCCACCTCCTGCTGAGAAAGAGCAGCTGGTGGTCATAGCTATTAACCTGAGCTCTAATTAGGGTGGTTTTTATAATGAGGAAAAGAGTGTGATCCTAATTAGTAATTTTCCATCATTGTCTCAATAGGTATCCCCCAGTCAAAGCAATCAGCTATCCTCATCACACGAGTTCCATTGCCAAAAAATAACCATTCTGTAAAACCAGCAAAAGTGAAGATGGCTAAGGACACAGGAAAGCAGAAAGGTTTTATGTGTTGCTAATGAGCTGCATTCTCCCCCACTTCTGCCTTAGGTCCGCGGCACCAGGATGGTTGGTTCTGACATGGTGGTGACAGTTGAGTTTACCAATCCTCTAAAAGAAACTCTGCGGAATGTGTGGATACGCCTGGATGGCCCTGGAGTGATGAAGCCAAGGAGGAAGATGTTCCGGTAAGGGGTGGTGTGGGGACTGAGAAGGTGACAAGTGACGTGGGACTGTGGGAAGGCTTAGCTTTCTCTGTTTTTTTTCCAAACTTACATCTAACACCCAATAAACATGTCTGAGAAGCTGCACCTTCTTATTGGCCATTTTTAGGAGTCATGGGGTAAAAGTAGGGTTGGTTTGACTGGCATTTCCATCATTTAATCCTTAAAACCACCCTAATGAGATAGGTACTATTATCATCTCCCTTTGGGTAGCAGAGGCTTTGAGAGGTCGGCTGGTTTGCCCCAAGTTCCACAGCTAATAAGAGAGGTGCCCAGATTCAGATTCAGGGTGGCTGATTCAGAAATTAAGTTTCAAGCATTCTGCCATACCACCTCCTCAGGTGTCAATTCTACTATTATCCATGGAGTACCTAGTGTGTGTCAGATATTATGCTGAAAGATGTCCCTTTTCAAGGGTCCTTTCTTCCCAGCCCCACCTTCCAGATTTCCCAACACAAGCACTCCAGAGCTGTTGCTTTCTGTAGAATAGAGGGAAGCCTAAAGGGTTGCAGACTTGGTTCTCTAGGGGACAAATGACTACCTCAGGCTCCATGATAAAATGAATGAGACTGCTTCATTCACACCTAGCACTGTCAGATTGTGCCCTATAGTTTCTTAGCTTCTGTGACTTCTGCTGACAAAGAGTGTCCCCCAACAAGACAGCCCATTTCACAGTCAGGTAGCTCTCATTGTTAGAAAACAGTTCTACCTTTTGATCCTACCCAGTGATCTTAATTCTGTCACTTGGATCAGCACAGAATAAAACCCATCTCTCTTCCATCTGGTGCCTTGCAAATGTTTGCAAACAACCGTCACATCTTCTCTATAACTCTCCTAACCCCTAACGTGGCTTTAGCTCTGCCCCCAACCTTTCCCACATACACCAGTTTGTCAGTGCTCCTCTTAAAGTGTGACACCCAGAATGGATCCCAATCTTTGAGGCTTAATATTTTCATTTCTACCACAAATAAGTCCCTGTCAGCATCAATCGATCTAGCATGTTTTCTGTGGGGTGAACTTCTGAAGCAGAGAAGGAGAGGTGGAGGGCTTCAGAAAGTGCCTGACAATGAGATATGTTAGGAATCTCCCTAACACCCTTTCTGGAAGCTACCCCCTCTGAATCTGTGGGACCAGGCCAAGGCCTCCTTCACCCCTTCTGGGATGCCTTTAAAGAACAATTTGCCCACTAAGTGCTCTCTGTACTCCTTTCAAATTACAGTGCTCACAGCTTCTGCAATCCCATTGTCTAAGAGAGACCTGCTGCCCATGAATGCAATAAACAACAGAGAAAATAATTTGAGTGCTTTTTTAAAAATGCAAGCACAAAACATAACAACCCTTCCTGTGCTACTAGGAAAGTTGAAGGAAAAAAAAAAGAATTAAATTAGAAATCATCCTTAGTGAGAGGGAGAGGTCAGCAGTGATAGCCCTGATTTCGTCAGAAACGACAGCCTCACTCACCCCTTCTCGCACCTTCCCACTTGAATCAGATGCAAGAATCACTCAGGCAAAGTGAAACACGTTTCTTCTTCAAAACGACCCCCGCTGCATCCGTTTTTTCCTTCTCAAATGGTAACCCTGGAAGCCTCATCTGAGGGTACTGGAACCTCCCGCTACCTGTACACCTTGGCTGTGCCAAAAATCCCACCTTGATCACAGGCCAGTGCATGAAAAGAGACAATCTGTGTTTTAGAAGAAAGATTAATCCTCACACAGTGCAATGACCTACCATTTGGGAGGCATAGGGCTCTAAGTGAGTTGAGTGTCCAGGTGCTTATTGTTAATATCTGACATTGGGGTAGGGCAAAGTGGAGTGAATCATGGAAAGGATGGGAGAGTCCAGTCCTTACATGGATACAAGGCAAATGCCCTGCCCACACTCTTCCTTAAGGTACTATTGGTGGTTATTTCCAACACCTTGGTCTATGGCAGATGGGTAACAGACAGAAAGCGAGGTCCTCAATCTCTTATGGGAATCCAGATCCAGGAGGTGAATCTCTCCAACACAAGGGTAGCTTTATTTCTCTGAGACTGTCAAAAATTGGAAAGAACTTGAGAGGGAAAATATTTACGATCTAGGGTGGGTTTGGGACTTTGGAGAGCACTACTTTCTCCGTCTCCTTCTGACTCCAGCACACACATTCACAATCAAGACCTGAGCCAGCCAGCACCCACATCCATATTGTCAGATAATTATAAGCACTCCAGGGTACCCTATGCTGCCAAGATCTGATCTAAGAGTGGCAGATCCATGTAACAACTTGGACTCTTAAAAAGAGCAATTGTGTAGTAGCAGAATTGTTCACAAGACTGTATTCCTTTCTAGAATACACATCTTGAATAGTCAAGGGAATCACTACCCCCACCTATCCACCCACAGTCCTGCCAGGGCCCTAGAAGACAAGGGGTGTCAAGCTCAAAACAGGGGGCCTGGAAGGCAGGAGCTAGAGAACACAGAATTGAACTAGGAATGAGGAAAGCAGTGGTGTTCCACTCCTTGCTCAGGGTATGAGCCAAATGTGTTCCGAGATGATTTACCTTCCTGCCTTCTGCCACCACCTCCCACCTATCTCAGATGCTTGAAAGTGCTGCCCCACAGACTCTCAGCTTTCAAGTTTCTGCACTTGATACTTCCAGAACATCAAATAATTCATCTTCCAGATTCATTTTTTCTCTTTAAAAAATGATCAGGTTCAGTAAGTTATTTCAAGAGAAAAGTTCCCCGACTTTGTGATTTTGTTTTAAATTTTGAGTTTCTCAAGTAGGACAGAAGCTGAGGGCTCGACACATGGAGAACAACCCATAGATAGTTGCAGTTTATTGTAATAATAATCCCATTTGCCTGTGTGTGTTCAAGATGATAAATGGCCAGCATGTCTTGATAGCTCAGCACATTAACTGAGAACCATTTATCACAACATCTATCCCCAGGCAAATAGGATTATTCCAGTATTACTCCATTTACCAATATGGGTGAGTGATTCTTTTCTCTTTCTGTACATATTTATCTATAAATAAATGCATACTTAGACATGCATGTGTATTTTCATGTATTAGTATCTTTGTATGATAGTCTTGAGTAGACATCTATACATGTATGAGATACATATGTGAATATCATTATGGGGCCAGGTTTATGAATAAGAGCCAATAACGAAGTGAAGCTCAGGGATTATAGTTTCTATTTGAGGTAGTCACCTGCATTACATGGCCCTAGGCCAGATCCTTAAGCAAGACAACTATTTTGCAAAGTGTTTCTGATTGATCACTTGGGGAACCCAGGGAAGAAAGAATGAAAGGAACAGGGTAAAAATTGCCCAGCACTTGAGAAATAAATATCTTAAAACATATATTCAAATTAAATTTATCACTGTAAATTAAGGACAGAGAACTGTTTCTCTGCAAATGGGCAGGAGGAATTTACTTTCCTAGTTGTTTTGCAGAGTTCAGGCAGAGGAAGCAACAACCACAAGGGTGATTGTGCTAATAATAATAAGTACAGCAACAGCAATAGTACTAATGACACTAAACGACAATTGGCGATTGCCATATTTGCCATGCTTCTAAGTGCAGTACAAATAGTAACTCACCCCACTCTCTCCACACTCTATTCATTTTTTTTAAGATTTTATTTATTTATTTGATAGAGAGAGAAAGCGAGCACAAGTAGGCAGAGCGGCAGGCAGAGGGAGAGGGAGAAGCAGGCTCCCCGCTGAGCAGAGAGCCCGATGAGGGGCTCGATCCCAGGACCCTGGGATCATGACCTGAGCCGAAGGCAGACACTTAACCAACTGAGCCACCCAGGCACCCTCACACTCTATTCAATATTCTATAGTGTCTGCCTTTTACAGGTGAGGAAACCCATGGTGAGGTCAATGTTTTTCAAACCTTGAATCATAAAATCGATTGACTGAGTTTGAAAAATACCTATATAGGTTATATGTGTGCACTTTTCACCCAATTTGGCTTTTATATAATGGGTGAAAATAATTTATAGAACCACATTTATAAAGAACAAAAATAAAGAAGAGAATTAGCAAATGCCAAATTAATTGAGACATTTAGACCAGTAGCGGCAGTCAATGCCTGGAGCAGTTCCAAAGAGAGGAGTCCCCAAGGCCTTAGATGTCTTTTCCAATTCACTGGGCACAGGTATAAGAGTTTGAAAGGGATTTCTTATTTAGTGTCTAGATTTCAAAGATTTGGGGTATTTTCCCTTTCTATCCCAGAGGATATACATCCACCGCCATCTAAAATACATATTGTTTTAGCTCTATTTGAGGAAACTTGGGGCTTCTAACTTTATATAGAATAGGTCAAGCACAGGTATGTGGCCCCATATTTCTCTTTGTACTTTGGCTGTGTTTAAAGTAATGCTCTATGGACCTGGCCCCCAAGGGCAAATAGGGGATCACATAGCTGAGGTCTTTGAACCACTCCAGACCTTCTTTGGCAGTTCCCCTTCCTTGTAACCCCTCCTACCACCACCCCAGTCTGAAACTACAGCATCCCCTGCTACTTTGGTCCCTCAGTCCCTCCATGGTACTAGTTGGAAGTACCCTCCACTAGGGATGTATTCACAGAATTCCTCTGCACATCATGTTCCTCATTTCTTAGCATGAGCATACTCTTCATGTCCCCCAGCATGTTTTTGTTTGTCCATGGTCTGGGTCATCAGGCTATGGCTGTGGAAGATTCCATAAGGCTCCTTAGGATCTCACCCTCCTCACCTATAAATGAAGTAGCTGGACTAAGTGATTTCTAAATCCTTTTCAATTCTGACGTGGTGTGCCTCAGTAATCCAATGAAAACAGGTCCCTTTTCTGTCTAAGGCACTCATGGTGGTCTTCCTTCACCTCCCAGATGTCCTCCCAGAGAAGTGCTGGCCCAGGATTCCCTGCAAGGTTACCCAGTACATGCTCTCCCTGAGGATCAGAGAGCAGAGACCAGGAATCCTCTACGAGCAATACGAGCAAGAAGCTCTTAGTACTGAATAAAAGCGCATCTGTCTTGCTTATAAAAAAAAAAAAAAAAAAAAAAGCTAGCACAGTGATCAGAAAAGTCATCTTTATAGAGGAGCATGGATTTGGGAATCAGAACAACCTGGGTCCAAATCTCATCTCTGCCCATTCACAGCTGTGTGATCTTGGAAAAACTGCCTCACTTGTTTATCCCTCCATTTCTCTTAACTAGTCAGTGTGTCAAATAGTACCTACCTCGAGGGACTATCATGCATGTAAAACCTGAATGTAACTTCCCCCTAAGGCTTCTATAGAGTAAAATATGTGAAGCACCCCAGAGAAGCCTAAATCTCCCCAACCCTGATTGACCTTAGTCATTCACTGGAGTGGGCTTGGCCATGAAGCTTAGGAAAACCTCAGTGCATAGGCTGCAGAGGAAGAGGAGAATACCAGAACCATTAAAGGCCAGTCCCATTATCAGGATGGACACAAATGAGTAGCAGAAAGGTACATGGGCAAAGGGACCCAATTTGGTGGTTAAACAGGATTATGAATTATAGAGCATGTAAATACTCCATCAGTTGGCAGCAGGTAAGGTTATGTTCCAGATCTTGGGCCTGGGAACAAGGTCTATCCCAAAGGGATTGGCAAGAACTAATAAGAGTATCAGGACCTCAGCAAAGGCAGCTGGGGATTCAGATAGGAGTCTAATTCAGGAGGGAACCAGAGTGGCCCAAAATGAGCCAAGGGAGATAGGTCACATCCATGAGGCTACTGCAGAGGCTGGGGGACAAGCTAGACTTCAGTTGACTCATGGCTGGTGGGAGACTCAGCCCTTCTTCACCATGCACTGGATAGACCACATCTGCATGGCAGTAGATCCCAGTTGATGCATCCAAGTGGAAGGAACCCTGACCCAACGGGTCTGTCACAGGCACATCCCCATCTAGGGGCCTCATTTGGGTTGGAACTGATAAAATCAGCCCTTCTGTCTTCTACTATCATCAACTGAGAGAAAGAGAGCATGTGACGCAGGCAAGGGTTCTCACTGCTTCCTGATCAAGGTGGGGAACTGGATCTGCCTCTTTGGAAAGTAAAACCTTTCCTCTCTCTTCCATCCTTTCAGTGAAATCCAGCCCAACTCCACCGTGCAATGGGAAGAAGTGTGTCGACCCTGGGTGTCTGGCCGTCGGAAGCTGATAGCCAGCATGACCAGTGACTCGCTGAGACACGTGTATGGCGAGCTGGATTTGCAGATTCAAAAACGACCTTCTGAATAAATGTACAGGGGGCTGAGATGGACATGGGTACTGGGCCTCTTGCAGTCTTGGCTAAGGAAATTCTAATGCAAAATATAGTCAGCTCTTGCTTTAACTTAGGTGTGAAGACCCAGCCAGGACTACACGGGGCCCCAGAGTAGAAATGCCATATATTTCAAAGACTACTTTTCAGTGTGACTATTCAATATGGAAGTTAGTTTTTAATCACTCCACCTTCCAAAAGATTCTGAGCATTAGCTTTAATTAAGTTCTAATTAAGTTCTCGTGGCTCATAAGAGTAAAAGTCATCATTTATCATCACAAATGTATATAGCTCCAAATATCAGAGGACTTCCCTTAACAAGGCGATTTGCTCAATACCTGGCTTCATGTAAAACAAGACTCTGATCTCCCACTCAGCCTTTTGGAGGTAATATACACTCCCCCAAAGGGAGAGAAGCACATGATTTGGGCCCTAGAATTCTATTCCCCTTTCTTTGGAATCGGGTTCTACTCTCTGTGTCAGAATATTTTTCCCAGGTATTGAGAACAACATCATTTTTCTTCTTGGCAAAGCCAGGGCAAGGTCTTTCATCTTGCACCTGCGGCAAAGCAACTGCCTGCCAAATTTCACAGATTTACCTTGTGAGAAGATGTGGCCCCATATTAACAAATTGCATTTGTGGGAAACTTAATCACCTAAGAGGAGATAAGATAGCAGGTGCAATACTCAGATCTATTAAATAATGGAGTTTTATGGTGCGTTCTATAAGAGGTGTCAGACGGTGGCCTGATCAGCAGGAACCAATATCCTTTACTTTAACTCTTTTGGGGCCACAGGACTAGAAAGTAACAAGGCTGACTTGGGACAGGAAAAATGAGGAATTAGTCTCTTTTATTAGTGATTATACTTCAAGATCTATCTCTCTGGGATCCTCTCCTTCACACAATGATGTCCAGGTACATTTTTAGAGATAGAACAAGCCCTGTGAGTTGGAGAATCTGGCAGATTTAGTGGCCAGACATGTAGAAGGATGGGCAGCCACTAATTCCCTGTTGTCCTTCATATCACTCATGTTGAGACCTCAGCTCAGGACACAGATGCTAAAAGGTAATACAGAGTCCATTTTGCAAGTAGCCAATGCTAACACAGACCCAATGACAGAGGATGTTGACATCATTTGTATTATGCTCCAAGGTTCCAACAGGCAAGGCTATCTGCTATTTATTTGCAAAACTGATTTATGATCAAAATTATCCATTGAAATGCCTAGGGTATGATTCTTAGCAAAAACAAAAACAAAGTGGGAAAAGCCAGAAGGAAATTTTCTGATCTGCATAACCACATTTCTAAGCCTTTGAGACTATTCTGGGCACCAGGGATCCATGAGGGTTAGTGGTCACCTCCATATGTGCATCATACCTAATTCTATTAAGTAATTAATAATCCCAGCATTTGCCAAGCCTTCCAATACTCAATTTTAAAATGAAATGCATTTTGCTATATGGTTAAACTGGCTTAATGTAGTATATGCTTATTAACTAGAATGTAATCAAAGCTTCAAATAAAGTTAATGTGATTATGTTTGCATCTGCATAAAAGTGAATACTTCATTTTCAATACAACATACTACTAACCACAGGTGGTCAAGAAACCACCCTTCCTTAGCAGTAGATGACCTACCCTGGCTAGGAAAACAAGCATTTCTCCTTTAAAGGAAATGACTTTAATAGGTACTCATGCACAGTTAGCTTTCCTCACTGCTCTCTTTACATTTTATTAACCACATTCATCAAAGGAGGAAGTTTATGTATTTAGTTCAAAACCAGCTTCCAGAAACTGCAAAATCTCTGTAGGTACTTTTCTATGAATGATCTCACGAATCGTTATAGTGACTCAGTGGACAAACCAGCATGGACACCTATCATAATGAACACCCTTTGTGGTCTTAGAACAAAGATGGAAAATGTATGACAAGTGTGTATGGGAGATCCCACGTTCATGGTAACATCACTGAACAATTGCAACTCAGATAGGGCCTCAGAATTCTCCTCAATGCAGCACTCCAGGCAGCCATTACCAACTGATTTAGAGTTGGCACTCAAAATAAAACCTATTCATCATGCCTAAGAGCCAGCCCATCCCCTCTAATAGCTGGGATTCTACACTGTATAATAATGCTGCGACACTAAAAATCATTTTAGCAATGGTAACAAGCAATGAATCTCAGATAGCACCAGAGACTCTGAATTCTAGTTTCTGCCTCTGCTAGGCCTCTATGCTTCTTAAGAAATCTTTATTCGTGTTTACAGCTTTAGTGACCAAAGAAGGGTAATAATATTTACATTTCCACAAGATTATTCTGGGGATATATGAAGCAAAACTTAACAACACATGTAAAACTATAGGTAGATAGATGATAGATAGATGATGGATGGATGGATGGATGGATGGATAGATGATAGATAGATGATGGATGGATGGATAGATGTTAGATGATAGATGGATGGATGGATGGATAGATAGATGATAGATAGATAGATAGATAGATGATAGATAGAGGATAGTTAGATGATAGATGATAGATGATAGATGGATGGATGGATGGATAGATAGATGATAGATAGATGTTAGATGGATGGATGGATGGATAGATGATAGATGATAGATAGACAGAGGATAGTTAGATGATAGATGATAGATAGAGGATAGTTAGATGATAGATGATAGATGATAGATGATGGGTGGATGGATGGATAGATGATAGATAGATGATGGATGGATGGATAGATGATAGATGGTTGGATGGATGGATGGATAGATGTTAGATGATAGATGGATGGATGGATGGATAGATAGATGATAGATAGATAGATGATAGATAGAGGATAGTTAGATGATAGATGATAGATAGATGATAGATAGATGATGGATGGATGGATGGATAGATGATAGATAGATGATAGATGATAGATAGACAGAGGATAGTTAGATGATAGATGATAGATAGATGATGGATGGATGGATGGATGGATAGATGATAGATAGATGATAGATGATAGATAGATGATAGATAGATAGGTGATAGATAGATGATAGATGATAGATAGATAGATATAGATAGATACGTAGGTAGAAACAGAGAGAGAGAGATTGTATGCATACATTTTTTCCAAGTAATTTCACTTCATCAACCCTGTAAAAGAAATAAATGTAATTATTTCCAGCCTGTTGATAAAGAACCTAAAAAGGTCTAGGAAGCCACACATCATGACAAATCAAGCTGCAGATGGGAGCAAGTGGTGAAATCAACCCCTGGTTTACTGTATATTCTTTACGTCTTTTGTGTCTCAAAGTTTTTAAGAATATTGAATTAAAATCAACTTCAAGACTCTTCATAGAGTTGCAGTATAACAACAAAAATATGATGTACAAATTTATAATAATATGGAAGGGAATGGAGTTTGTGCAATCAAAAGTCACAGAATTCTAGATGTAAAGTTGTCATTTATGAACATTCTTCCAACATTACTACTCAGCCAACCTAACTATCCATTCATTCATCTTTTCTACCATCAAGCCATCCTCCTGCCAGCTAGCCAGCCAGGCAACCTTCTAACGACCTATCCATTCTTTATTCCACCCCTCTATTTAACATTCATGCATTAATTAATTGTGCAAGCATGAATTCAACAAATATTTATTGAACATTAGGCATCATCCTAGAGCCTGGGAATTCAACAATGAAAAGTCCCATGGTCCTTACCCAGAAAGAACTCACATCCAGAGGAGGGCGCCAGATATATAAACAGATAAGGTACATGGAGACACTATGTTAATTGAGAGTTGCCCAGCATACCATGGGAATAAAGAGGGAAAAAAAATGCCTGAAAAAGCCTCCCTTAATATCTCCAATAATGGAGAAGAAATTTAAATTGAATCGTGAAAAAAAAAGAGCAAGAGGTAAGATAGAGATCATTTGACAAAGAAGAGCTCATGTAACAGCCTAGAGAAGAGAAAGAGCATGACCTTTCTGGGGAACTGCAATTAGCTTGGCATGGCAAGATGGTCAATATCCAGCAAGAAGAGGCAGGGATCTCCATATTCACCATAATGACTCATGAGATCATTTGTAAGAAGGTATCTACAGAGATTTCAGCCACAGAAGTAACAAGTATGGGTCAGAGTGGGAGCACTTCCAAGAATGAGAATTTGTTCCTTCTGCCCTGTGTTGTGGAGAAAGGCTAATAAAGACTGCTAATTAAAAAAAAAAAAAAAAAACTGGATCAAAACTAAGAACTATAGCGGGTGGGTCAAGGAGGGACGAGGCCAAGAGAGTATGGGGTGGAATGCCTAACTCAGGTCAGTGAGGAAGGTATAAGCTTGGGAGCGTGGCCACATTGGGGTCTAGGAATGGGAAATGAGATGTACGAAGGCCCAAGTGCATACAAAGTGAGAAAGGTAGCAAGTCAAGGGAAGCTGTCCATTTCAAAGACTGATACAAGTATATGACAGACAAGTTCCTAGAAGCTGAAATTTGGGCAACCAAGTATTTACCATTGGCAGAGACTGACAAATACCCAGGATCTTATTCCTAGGGCCATTCTCTTAAAGGCCAAGCTCTCCAACTCAGTACCCAAGAGAGCCAAATGCTTCTACAGATACTCCTTCCATTTTCAGCACTTCGAACCACTTAGACTCAGTTTTACCTTCTTAATCTCTGTAGAAGAATGAAAACAAGACAAGACAAACATCTTTTGAGTGTATCTGTCAGAAATCACTCTACAAAAACAAACGCATAACTACACGAGAAGAAAAAACAAAGAGCTCGGTTGCAGTAGAATGAGTAACTGGGAGATTGTGCTCACCTCAAGTGCCAGGAGTTACACTGAACACTTTTTAGCTCCAAAGACAATGGCCATTTTCAAAAAGATGCTTAGTCAGCTTGCTGCTGATAACAATTAATGAACCCCTGTTAATTTTCACACTAATAATTGTTCTAGAACTTAAGTAATTATCTCAGCAATGTTTCACTGGCCCTGAAACTAATTCAAATATAAGGGGTCCTAATGAGTATTTTCTATTAGTAAAAAGCAAGTACCTATAACACAGAAAGCATTCTTTCCTCTTTTTGGTTTGAGCAAGTTTAGACAGTGGAAAACTACAGCAAGTTTAGACAAGTGTAAAAATAATTACAATCAGAGTTTATTTACCTAAAGGTTGTAGATTATAGAATACCATAAAATTGTTGCCCCTGCTTCCATTGAGAGGTGGGTCCACCTTCCCACCCTTCAACTCTAGGCAGCCTCCATGATTACTTTGACTGAAAGAATGGGTTAGAACAATGCTACAAGTTGTAAGTTCCATTCCTTGGGAGAATGGTGGCTTTCACTTCTTGTCTTTTGAAATCCTCTCCATAGAATACCTGAGCTTCCATATAGGAGCTCAACTACTTTGAGACTGCCATACTGGAGAAGCTACATGTTAATTCTCTGGTCAGCCATCCTAGATGAACTCAGCCTTGCAGTAATCTCCACGAAGGCACCAGATATGATAATAAAACCATATGGGGCTCCCCAGATCAGCCCATCCACCAGCTGAGTACCATCACCACCACCAAGTGACCTCAGTCACTTAGAGCAGAAGAGTCACTCTGCCAAGCCTTGCTCAAATTCCTGACCCACCAAATCATGAGATATATAAAATGGTTGCTGTTTGAGTCACTCGATTTGAGGTTATCTGCAATGCAGTAAGATAAAAACCTGAGCCCAACCATCTCAGAAAGGAGAGCAATTTACTGATTAACGCTCTTCTTGCTTTGAGGAAATGCTATGTTTGAACTTCATCTTTTCTTTCCAAAAAATATAGGACGATGCATAGTTTGTCATTACTCAGCAGCTTCCATGTATTTGAAGAGGCCTAACATGTATACTTCCAAGTTTAATAGTTTCAATATTGCCAGTTCCTTGAACTCTTCCTTTTAAGCTATGATTTTCTGGGATCTTCATCAGCTTCATTGAGGTTTGGTTAGATGCTATTAGGGATAACTTGAAGATGAGAGAGAGAACATGAGGATGGAGAACGACACTGTCTCTCACAGAGACTTAGGGAATAGGGTCATTCCACTGAGAACCTCAAAGCAATGTCAAATCCTCTACTACCCCCACAAACCTCGCCTCTCCATGAGCTGAAGTACTAGGGAACGGTCTGGTCATGAACCTACATGCCATTGTTTTCTCCCTGAACGTTCAAAAATGCCTTGATTCGCACATAGGTCTACACTGATTTAGCTCTAACTATGTGAAGCCAAATGGAATAAAGTAACTTATTTTTCTATCAGTTATACCTAAGCCTGAAATTTGTGGCCACTGCTAACAGGTAAGCCCGATAATGGTCTGAAACCTGAAGTGTTCAGTTAAAGATGAGTCAAAAACTAGTCATTTGATGGCAGTGACCCTAGAGCAGTCTTGCCCTTTAAGAATGTGTTCTCAGTACTCAGTAGTAGTCATAATGAGTAGCTGTCCTCTGCCCAGCCTTTAATCTATGAGGGCCTTTATGCCACAGTGCGGTCCCACATTTTTCTACATGCTTTCCTCAAAAC